GGAGTGCCACAGAGGCCCTGACCAGGGAGGGGCCGACTGGCCAGGCAAGAGGAGATGGGACAAGTGCAGGCACGGAGCCAGGAGTGTCTTCATACTCTGACCTCTGAGACTGCCCACTTTTTCTTTGCATCTTCCTTGAATTTTTCAAGAATCAGTGCTGTCAATGGAGACCAGAGAAGGCCTGGGCGTGTGTTGGGGGTAGGATGAGAGAGTGTTCCAGCTGTGCTTAAGTATAATATTTAACCATAGATAGAGCCAACCTTCCGTCTTCCATATCCACAAAGAAAACACACATGAGGAAGATACAGCAAGCAGTACTCTAGGATAGATACTAAGAAGAACTTTTAAACAATTAAAGGTGTAAGATTCTAGAACTGATGACAGGGACCCCCTGCTAGGTTTAAGTGTAGAGGGAATGTTCCTTGGCCAGTTTGCCTTAGGAATGGAGGGCGGGTGAGGCCCTCACGGAGTGGAGGGATGGTAAGGACCCTTCAACCCTTTCCTAGCCTGAGGCTGTTTGGGTCTTTCCATTTTGTAGAAGATTCTGAGAGGACAAGGACTGCAGCTCGTCCCAGTCACCCTCAGAATGAGAAGAAGCACAAAGAGCACTTGATGAGATGCCCAAGAGGGGTGTCAGTCTTGGCTCCACCCAACCAGATATTTGGCCTGGTGAAGTCCTCCAGTCTCTCTGGGCCTCAGTTTCTCCATCTGTAAGGTGAGGAGCTAGAGCCGCTTCATTCCAGCTCTGTAAGCAGTGGGCTTTGTGTCCTCCGAGCACTCACCCTGATGCTCTGGGTGACTCCAGAGTCCTGGAGCCTGTGGCACATGCAGAGAGAGAGCTCAAAGTGCCCTGTCCCTGCTCAGAGGTCAAAACTCTAAACTGCTGCCCCCGGCAGGCATCCGGGGGAACTGATGGGAGCGGAAGTTGGTCTCACTTCCAGGGTCAGCTCCCAGACAGGAGTAAAGGAGCAGCTGGCAGCCATGGCCAGAGGTCCCAGCCCTCAGACCCACAAATCACCAAATCTTGCCTTTTGTAGGACTAAAGCAGAAAAATCTCTGGGCTGGGAGATGAGAGATGTAGGTTCTAACCCTGGGTCCATCATGAACGTGCTGTGTGACCTTGAATGAGCAGCCCCCACACCCAGATTGCAATGTCTTAGCCTGGGTGACCATGTGAGTGCCTTCCCGAGAGCAGCTCGAACGTCTGAGCACACAGGCTGGGTTTCTCCCAAGCCATCAGGAGCCCCATTTGGACACATGACCCTAATCATGCCCAGCAGCCAAGGGGGGCGTCCCCACAGAGCACCACCTCAGGACCCGGAAACCATGAGACTGAAAATCAGGTCTCCCTGCCCCTCTCAGAGGAGGCCCGAGGCCCCAGGAAGCTGCCTTTTTCTGAAAGGCGAGAACCAGCCGGGGCCCAGGGCCTGGCCCCATTTCCTCTGCTGCTGCCTCTCCACCTGCAGGGGCGCCTCTCTGTGAATGGGAGCCTTCCCCACCCTCCCAACTCCCACCAAAGGGGCTGGAGAGAGGTCTCCGGAACTCCCTGGAGGCCAGGCCAGTGAAGGCTCCCAGAACAGCAGGACGGGTCCCCACAGCTCCGCGCCAGCCAGGCACATGCCGCTGGGTGGCAGATACAGGTTGTTCTGACAAGGCTATTTATAGAAGCCGGCTCGGCCTTTCCTGAGTGGGGGCCTCAGTCTCTCAGCAACCAGGAAACATAAACGCCTTTCCTTGGAGACAGGAAGGAGAAATTCTCCTAGGAGCTCAGATGCGATCTCTCTTCGGGTAGGAAAAAAAGCATTGTTAGGGGTCAGAATGGAGTCAGGATAGGCAGATCTCTCTGAAACCCTTTCCAGAAGTGATGCCAAGGGAGGAGAGAGAGCTGAAATGTTATTCAAGGTGGAAAAATACGCCAGAGGACGCGAGACTGAAATACGTGGATGAAGCTTCCCCAGTTCCTAAGTCAATCACATGCACCCCTTCACAATTAGCAGGGGCCCCCCCGAGCACTTGCTCCCCATGAGAGGTGGCCCAGCCCCCCTGCCTCCCTGAAGGGTGCTGTGCAGATGGCCAGTCTGGTGCTGAGGGAAACTGTCCCCAGCAGCAGTTCTGACCCTCCGCTCAAGGCCCTTCTAGGCAGAGGCCAGGGAGACATGGGCCATGCCCACCACTCTGTCCTTCTTTGAAGCATTTATCCTTCTCCCCTTGGGGTTCAACAAAATCAATGTTTTAGGAGGGATTCCTGCCCTCTGCAGGCTTACAGACTTGGGCAAAATGAAGTAGGAAGATACGCAGAGACCTCATGACCTGCAATGGATTCAAGAAGCAAAGAAAGAGTCAATGTGGGTGCCAACCCAAATGTGTACGTTCAGGAGTGATGCTAGGAAGGGGAGTTTGGGGGCAAATGAAGAGAGAAGGCTATTTGGGCCAAGGAACAAGTCACCCCTATCCCCACTCCACCCCAGCATATTTTATTCTAAGATATTTCTACTTCTCTCAAGACAAACCAGAAACACCTACCTTTTTCGTTTGCCAAGTGGAAGACACCTCAGCCCTGCAGTGCCCCTTCCTCTACCCAATCATGTAAAAAGCCCACCTTCTGGGCCCGAGGGCTTACAGCCTGGCTGGCAGTGAGTGTAACAGCTAAACTTTGTTCTAAAAACAGGAACCATTTCCGTCCCAGGCAGCAGCAGAACTCTTGAGAGCTGTGGTTCTCAACCTCAGTTGCATATCAGAATTACCTGGGGAGATTTTCAAAATCTTCATGCCCAGGCTACACCCCAGACCAATTAAATCAGACTCCCCAGCTGGGGGCCCCAGTGTACCCTACATTTTCCAAAGCTTGGCGGTAACTCCAGTGTGCCAGTGAGAACCACTAGTCTAAATAAAGATCCCAGATAGCTGGAGTGCCCTTGTGTGTGTGTGTGTGTGTGTGTGCGCGCGCACGTGTGTGTGTGTGTGTGG